GCTTCCCATGGAACCCTGCGTGTTGAGATGATGCTGTACAGGTTTCTGGAGAAGCAGACCAGGTCAGAGTAGGAAGAAAGGTCTGGCTATGTGCTTCTAAAATCTGTTCATGGAAACTCTGTGAATCACTGTGGTCTGATCCACACACCGTCATTGGGAGGGTGCAGGGCCAAGCAGTGCTTTATTATGTTGTGCACAGAGTCGGGAGCTGACTCAAAATAACAACATACTTATCTAGGTTCACAGCATGATTTCTAGAGTCAGAAACAAAACAAATCAAACACTCTTAATACTACCAGAATAGCTCTCACTGACCGACTGTTCAGATGATGCCCTTTCATGCCAGCAGCCAGACCAAACAAATGAATAATCAGAGACTCTATCGAGAGGAAATCCTGCCATAGAAATATTTTTAACGATCCCTCCAAAGAGCTAAAGACAGCATACAACTTTTTCTTGGGGGTGGGGTGGGGGGATGTCAGTGTCTTGGGCTCACTTTAGAACCATGGAGAGGCATTCTCCCTGCTCTTGACCTTTCGATGAACAAATGCCTTTATTATCTTCTACTTTATTGCTACATGAGTGCTACACATAGGATTGGGGGAACAAGGCCTGTCTTTCTGTGGAAAGTAGATAAGGAGAGAGAATACTGATAAATGATTAAATTTGGAACAAAAAAGGGAGTATAAACCATTGCGTAGCTTCAGGGTGTTATGTTTTATTTCCAAGTCAAATAGAATCCATGCTCGATAGGCACTTATCTTACTATAAACAGTGGGATTTTTCAAGTCTGAAAAGATCCTTGAGAATGGAAAGGTTAAGTCTCTTCTGTAATATTCAAAAGTGACTTCAAAATTTACACTTCAGTTTGGGCCACGGACCAATTTGACAGGTTTGATATGTCTGGCCTGTCTCTTAGTTGGAAGGTTGTGCTTTGAAATGAACAATTACTAAAGGCATTGACTATCCCTGCCTTCCTACAGTGACTGCTGGCATTTCCCGAAAGCCTTTCTGAACGAGAGGGAGAAAAGGCATTCTTCCACAACCCACTGCAACCTGCATAAAATGACAGAAAGCATCCTCTTGAAATCTGGCTTTTGGTCAAGTCATAGGTCCCTAATGGAGCTGAAGTCACAGGAGGGTTTACTTTAGCTCACCCATCATTCCCCACCCCCACCCCCCTCCCACAGGCAGCAGAGTAATTAATTACTTACTGAGATGGAACTTGTGACTGACTCCCAGTTAGTCTCTGAGGCTTCAGCAGGTTGGAAATCCTCCTAGAAGGCAAAGAAACATCCATGCAG